GCGCATGCCAAGGATCTTTGCAATCAATTGTTTCCCTGTACCTTGCCTGCCTTGAAGTGAGTTCACCTGACGCTGCCCTCAGGTGATGTCTGCTGAGGGGACTTTACTACGGGCCTATGTATTCTTTATGGTGCACCACCATTCAATTGTAAAAATTCTTTGAAAGCTCTTCTGCTTCAGTTATTTAAACCGCATTTAATCTGGGTGGCCGGATGTCTTGAAACGCTCATAAATTCACATCCTCAGATAATTAAAAGATATTTGATACAAGTACTAAAAATTTGACTTCTTACTTCCTTGCGTTAAGCTCCTTTAATTCAAGTTTAGCGAAAAGTGTTAGTCTCTCATCTCTGCACATTGTCTTTAAAAAAAGGCTTTTTTGATGTTGTTCACCCTACTATCAAGATTACAACATTAGAAACAAGGCGAGAATCGGCCGACTAATTCGGTAGGAGTTGAAAGTAAGGATTACCAAAAATTGGAAAAAAGTCAAAATATCTAGGTTCATGCTCAGCAGGATTTTTTGCTGTTACAACTTGCTAGTAATGAATACGGAGGAGATAGCATGTAGTGAATTAAGTGACTCCTAATCCAAAATTAGTACAAACTTTTACTAGGCTTACTTTCAGTCAAATCCTTTCAGTTAACAACTCGTTCATTTATTTGCAATCAGATGCTTGGCATAATGTCTTTATCATACGAAAGACATATCTGACTCATTGTATAGAAGCCTCTGAATTTTCGCTTGTGTAACGATCAAACACCGTTGTCGAAGTTTTAATGAGCTGTATTGCGGAAGATGGCAAATCCTGCAATATCTCACCTGAAGATATCTGATCGCCTACAACCCATGCCCAGCGTAGAGCAGCCTTCTGCATTTGCACTCAAAGCATTTCCCCGGGCAGGCATGATTCGAATCGGAGAGGTTGAGATAGTCAATGGCGGGCATGTACAGGCTAAAACAGTGAATAACTCTTGATCAACTAGTGACTAGAGGACACCCACATGTTTCGCACTGAGCGCTGGTATATACAGTCAATTGTGAATCTATCCATTGTTGATCACCATTGCACGACAACGACGTGACAGTCGTTCTTCCGGAACCAGCTGTCATCAGTCCACTATCACAGTAAATTTCGGGACATTGTCCTAAAAATCTGGCAGTTTACGGCAGAAAAAGAGATCCGGACACTGTTGAATGCTTATGGGACAGTGTATTTACCAGTAGTTTTTGTCAACACTGGAGTGCATTTGAAGCCTGTGAGACAAGTCATCCCGTCGTTTGTAATGGCAGG